CCACCTCTTTTGCAGTAAGGCATTAATTTACTTACCAACATTTGATTAAACTCTTAAGGTTCAACCCTAGGAGGAGGTGGCGGTGGACAAAGGATTATTGTCATTCATCATCAACACATTTTAGTCTTCCCCTCGAGTTGCCTATGAAGGATTAGCATTTCCCTGAAAGGAGGAGGACAGAATAAATTGCGTCTACCGCCAAAGAACTGCCAGCTCCTTTCAGCTGGGGGCACATACCGGGAGCTTTTCCCATATTAGTCAGCTTTATCTCAACTTTTGGGCAGTGCCTACATCTGAATTTCATGGGTTTCAGGGTCAGTCAAAACAGAATTGTAGGGCTGTTGAGGTCAGAGGCCACCTCTGTCAAAGGGTAGTGACCTTAACAGCAAGACATAGCCAGTCTCCTCCGTCCTCCCTCCTCCCCCATCCCAGTGACTTCATTCTAGTGAATGCTTGGCTCATTGCACGCCCCCCTGCAGAGCTTTTTTTTCGACCTGGTAATAAAAATCCTCTGTGACCTGGTATTTTTTTTTTCATTATTATTGATTTTCTTTTATTCCTGTTTCTCTATAGAATAACCAACTCTCGGTCATACATAATGCACTGGTTTGTATGTACGTTGGGAAATGACAGAGGGAAAGGTAGTCTGCTATTTATTTACAGTGAGCAGAATGCCACCTCTGGTTTAGGGGAAGATCTGGTGCCCAGCTTAGAAACTGCCTGCATTTTGTGAGCACAAAAATTTCCCAAAACTTTTGAAACTCTCTTCCACCCCAGTAAGTTCTATTACCGCAGTCAAGGTTGATTTTTAAAACTGCAGAACTGCTCAGGAGAGGCGAATGGAAGTTGGGATGGGGTGGGAGGGTGGGAAGAAAAGTAGGAAGGAGGAAGAGTGTGCTTTGGTAGAAAAAGCACAGACAGGCTCTGGAGTAGTATTTCTTTTATTGTGTTTTAAAAATTAATATATCGAGAGAGACAGAGTCTCACTGTGTTGCCATGGTCTTAAACTCCTGGCCTCAAGTGATCCTTTCTCCTTGGCCTCCCAAAGTGCTGTGATTATAGGTGTGAGCCACTGTGCCTGGAGTAATTTTCAGATCCCAGCTCTGCCCCTTAAACTGTAACCTTCAGCAAGGCATTAAGCTGCTCATAGTCTCCGTTTCTTCACCTGTAAACAGAAGCGATTATGCCACTGGTATTGCAGGGAACTTGTGAGAAGCAGACATGGCGAGTCTAATGTGCCTGGTACAGAGAAGACTTCAATAAATGGGAGACTCCGTGGATTAAGGCAGATCTATTTCAGAAATGTGCCCCTGAGTGTGAGGTGAGGAAAGAGTGTTGCAGACTTCTCATTTAAAGATCATCCTTCTGCCTCAACTATATTTTGGTTCTTAAGACATCTTGCAGTTTATTGTTTCTGAGAGGTATAGCATATGCCAAGACATTCTGGATACTGTCCCTCACAGGGGCACAGTTTGATAGTTCCTTGAGAAGTCACTCTTTTAAACTTCACTCAGAGGCTTTTCTTTTCTAGGAGAAGACATAAATACCAAGTATCAGCACTTCAACTCTTTCTAAGGCTGATTCTCTTACCCCTGCTGTCACGGTCAGACCTCATTATTTTTCATAATAGATTTTAAAGAGCTGGTTTTAGCTCTTGAGGCATTTATGATGAGAAAGGGAGGCATATAACTGGGGAGTCCTATTTCTCCCGCCCACCATCTCTCTTCACCCACACTCCTTTCCTAGCAACAGCTCTTTCTTCATCTCTTGTGGCCCACGTCTTCCGTCCCACCTACACCAGCAGCAGCAAAATATGGGGGTGAGAGGGTGGCGGCAGGGTTGGGGGAGGTTGAGACACAGGAGGGGGATTGGGGGAAGAGCTTCAGGGAGGAGGCTGGTGAAGCACAAAAGGTTCTGACCTCCTTGGAACAAGAGGAAGCCCCAAGCACTGTGTCCAAGCTGGCTTAGCTTGGGAGGCTGCCAAGGAACTGAAGCAGAGAAGTTCCAGGTTAGAAGGGCAGGCAGCAAAGTGGTAGGGAGGTGGGGGTAGCTGAAGGGAGAACAGAACAGCGCGGTTTAGGGAAAGGTTTGTCAGCTAAGGGAAAACTATGCACGGTGTAGGTTACGGTGGAGTGCCAGTACTTGCACAGAGCATGGTTCTTCACTCTGGACAAACAACGCTGCAAAAGAGAAACTTGGGCCACATGTTCAGGGAATAGTAGTAGTCCCTGAAGTTTAGAACTTGAGGGTGGAAGGGATCGTGTTTCTCAACCTTGACTGCATATTCAGTCACCTGAGGAGCTTAGGAAAATACTGATGCCTGGGTCACGTTCCAAGTCACTATTCATTGTGGGTGGGACCTATACATCAGTATTTTTGTCTTTATTAATTTATTGAGACAGGTCTCTGTCCCCCAGCCTGAAGTGCAGTGGCCCATTCATAGCTCACTGTAAGCCCAAATACCCGGTCTCAAGTGATCCTCCCACCTCAGCCTCCTGAGTAGCTAGGACCGCAGGTGCGTGTCACCACAACTGGCTAATTTTTAAATTTTTTGTAGGGATAGGGTCTCACTATATTGCCCAGGCTGGTCTCAAACTCCTAAGCTCGAGCTCAAGTGATCTACCCATCTCGGCCTCCCAGAATGCTGGGATTACAGGTGTGAGCCACCATGCCCGGCCTTAATTGTTTTCTAATCTTGCAAGTCTGCCTTTAAGCAGTGCAAGAGGTTGGAACAAAATAGCTGTTTGTTTTTGCTATCTTTCCTTCTCTAGATTCACTTCAGATATTTCGACTTTACTTTAAAGCAAATATTAAGGCCAGTTTTGAAGAGAGAGGAAAATTGCCAAACACTGCTCTCCAGAGTTGTACAAGGGAGGATGGGGTTGGACTCATGAGCCTCACTCTGTGTTATAGCACCAGCTGGTGGAGCCAGTGCCTTCTCTCCTGTGGCTCCCTCCCTGAATCACTGCCCAGCTGCCAGTCTTCTCCGTTTTTTGTTTTCCCTAAACAGCCCATCCATCCTCCTCATCCAGCTCTGCCAGCCCTGGTCCATCAGTGCAGACTGTAAGTTGGAATGTCATAATCATGTAACACACCTGCTTGAGGTCCAGAGTGGGGAGGTGAACCGTTCAAGGTCACATGGCAGTTTCCACAATTTCTCCTCCCCCATTTGGGTTGGACTTACTCCATGGCAAACATTTTGGGTTGGTCTGTGCCTGGGTTTCAGTCTCAGAGGGGCGACAAATTCTCTTTCTACCCAGAGCTGGGGTGTACCAGAGGCCTGACAAAGAACACAGCAGGATGGAATCTGAGGACACCAGAGGCCTGCAATGTGGGTGAGCCATCCTGGCTGCTCTTCATGACTTCAGCCAGTTTCAAGCTGGCAGAGTTCTTTTCAGAAAAAGTCCTAAGAGGGGAGGGTCCCTTTACTGCCAAGACTCTTCTGTTCTTCCCCTGACAAGTGACTGGCCCCACTCCCAGCTGCCAACCTTGCCCGAATTTCCCGTTCTGGTGACTGACTGGGAGCTATCAGAGGGAAAGAAGGTGCATTTGAGTCATGTGCTCACAGCAGCTGTCGCCTTTTCCTAGTCAGATCTTTCCTGGTTCCAAAGTTGAAAGTTTTAAAACAACTGGGAACATAGGTACTACTCGGCTCCCAAGAGGTAGGCACCTGGTGCTCTGGAGAGGAGGCCCAGTGGCCTTCTGCCTTCATCTGAAGCTACCTTCTTTTCCAGGGTCTTGGTTGTGCTGTGAAAGGGAGGCACACATTTTCTTCCTTGCAAAGTTCCTGAGGTGACCTGTTCTATGGGCTTCAGACCCTTGTTGATTATGACTCGTTTTGCCTAAAGATTTGTGCAGTTAATGAGCTTGTGGCTGTTATGTGTAAATGGGTGTCCTATGCCCTCGTTACCTGACTAAAGAATTTGGTGATTACTTTTTTGTGCTTAGTAAGTCAAAAGTCTGACGTCCTACACCCTTTCATTTATTTAAGGGAGCTCTGGCTTTGAATTGTAAGAGAGACTGGTCTGGTCACTCTTAGGTTTATTTTTGGCAGTGACTAAATCTGAAATTTCATTCTTCCTTTTCCTTACTTTCCTTATATGAAAGCCAATTAATGGATTGTGGACAAAAGATCAAACTAATTGACCATCAGAAAGTGAAATTCAACATCTGCTTTCTTTTTGTAGAACAACATAGCTAAATATAAGGGGATGTTCTGTATTTAATTTTAATCTTAAAAATCATGTTCAGGTATAAATATATTACGTAATAGCAAGTAAGAACTTGGCTTTAAATATAAATCTTTCAAAATGCAAATTGAATTGTCAAGTTCTCATGCCTTTTCGTTAATATACTCACTACTCCCATTTCTGGACATCTGTGGTTCTGAACTTCTCATAGATCCTAGACTCTTAATGTTTGAGAAAAACACCATCATTGTACTTTGATACCCCACTCCTCTCAACCCCAGAATAAAAATACTGTGCTGGAGAAGAATTTGTTAATACTTATTAAGTATTCAGTAATGTTACTGTTCTGTTCCAGAAGTTTATTAGCATTTAAAGCACTGCACTTGAAATAGCTTTACACCCAGTGATCATTAAAGCATAATGAACCAAGGGATCTCTTAATGGTGTTGGTATCGAAGAATAGTATTCCCTATAAGAGCTGAAAGGTTCCTGCCTTTGGGTGACACTAACCACTGTGCAAACTTACGACACATCTCTGTGTGTAGAAGAACTAGTCCCCTACAAACCTCTATCAGACTGTAGGTACTATTTTTACTTAATCATTATTCAAGGACAGGATGTGTGGTTTATACACATTTTAATTATTATATGACAAGATGATGGGGAACTACATATAAGACTACTTAGTTTTTCCCTGCCTACTTACACCCTAAGTATTCAGAATGTTATTTATACACACACACACACACACACACACACACACACACACACACAGAGGTCATGTCAAATGAAAAGTCAGAAGAAAGCAGGTCATTTCAATATTTTTTATTTGAGTGTGAAACCATTCATATCTTGCACAACTGTACAGATAAAACTATTTCCATTTTAGCTGTAGACACAATTATCACACTGAGTGGTGTGATCAAAGATTTTATTTACAGAACAATTGCTAAAACATCCGATGTCATATTTCCATTTATTTCTTACCCATAGGGTAATAGGCCCACCATAATTGCTTGGTGCATTTTATAATACAGAAAGAAAACCTATATTAATCTCTAACAAACCTCACAAATTACTACAAGTCTGACAGAAAAATGCCTACAAAAAAATTCTCCAAAAGTACAATACATTTTTATTTCCACACATACACAGTATAGTATAGGCTCAAAGGCACAGCTTTGAATTTTTTTCTATCAAAGTGTCGGATATTATTATAGTTTTATGAAGAAACCATGAAAGTCATTTTCACACTTGGTGCTTGGTAAGTTAAAGTTTGTTCCATCCAGTTTCACAAAGTTAACACAGCAGAGCTGAGTGTGATACTCAATGCCATAAATCCACATTCTCATAGAACTTTAAAAAAAAAAAAACCTTCCTGCCTTTTGCTGACACTAGCCATTGTGCAAACTTAAGACAAATCCTTGTATGTAGAAGAACCAGTCTCCTACAAACCTCAATCACTTAAGGCAATACAGAACAGACCTCTTCCTTCCCTCAAGACAGTGCTTACATTCCAAGACAATGCAGGTACTGTGACAGATGTGGGTTATGACAGAAAATCTAGAGTTTCCAGATAGCTCCCCATTTAGCCCTGGTGCTCCAGGAAGCAGTGATGATACCACCAGGAAGAAGGGATGTGCAGAACACGTCTGAGGGCTGTTCCTTGTACAGTACGATGACAGACAGATGGCAAGGTGAATGCTCTTGGCAAATTATGTGCCCATCCAAGAACACAAACCAGATTCTGTCTCCAGTATCCATCCTTCAAGACTAAAGAGATTTTGTCAACAGGAAAATCAGTAGCTTACTAGAAGTGGTTGCCAACACAAAGCAAAGTCATGGAACAGAGGGAAAAGGCACAGAATGGCCTGCCCGAGATAGTGCTCTATAGAAACAGTCAAGTCTGGCTTGGCTACAGAAACCCAATCCCGCTGACTTTTAGTAAGTCCTGTTTCTGAACTAAAGTTTATTCATCCCACATTGAATCCCATCCTCATGTTCATTAGGAAAATGGACACTTAGGAATAGCCCATGAGTTACAATGTATAGAGATAAAGTCTTCTGGGGGATGGGTGTTGGGTTTATTATTATTAATAATTATTATTAATATTAAATATGGATGCCTATGATAGCAGTCATTTAGCCCATCCTGTAGAGGCCTCTCCGTTGATGTAAGCAAAGCCAGGAAAGTGTTGCATGTGCTCATACTCAGAATTCCTGCGCGTTGTCAGGGGTGTATACATGTCACTAGAGTTTCCATACCTCGTGGAATGCACAGACGGGCTTGTGTAGCACGTGTTGGCGGAGGGCACCTCTGGCCAGCGGGGAGTGACTGGGGTAGGATGCAGTCTGGGAGTACTGCTCATCAAACAAGGTTCCATCCGGGAAGTGGGGCTATTAAAAGGGTACTTGTTGAGGGGAAAGAAATTCCACAAAGTAAAAATTAGCTTGAAGTTGCATATACACAATATCAGTCATGTTTATAGTTTAAGTTAAATTTCTTAAGATGCTATTAATGAGAGCTGATGGAGAGGAATCACTGAACTTCTGCAAGATTGAATCTTGGTCTTAGGGAAGTCAACAGGAGAAATGCAAAAGATTTCATAGCCTGAGTTGGGCTGGTGTTTACTCATGCGGTTATACTGGCTTTCTGTTCCTAATCTGCAATATCTTGGGAAGTCAAACCCAAAATGAGAAACAGCCACACCAGGAATACAGAAAAGTGTGTGTTTGTCACACGCACAAATACACTAGTAACTGCATGTCCAGATAAATAAATATGGATGTACAGATGGATGGCAGTGAGTTTTATTGTTAGTTATGGAGATGTGATAGGTCCTAGTCCATCAACCCAAGAGCATAACACTGCCAAGTAAAATACAATGACGTTATGAAAAAATAACATTTTACAGTTGAATTCAATTATAAACTTCAGCCTAAAAGCAGGCTTTTGAAGAGGAAGCAAGTCAACAATTTCAAAGGTTATTATTAGTGCCTATCATTTAGAGAATGTCTTTCTTTTTGGCTCACATTTGCTGAACTCCTGGAAGATACACGAATAGGAATTGGACTTGGTGTGAATGTGGAGGAAAGAGTCAAGAGAAACCAATTGAGAGCGGTGGGGAGGGGAGCTTTTGTGCAGGTCAGAGGAACAGGTGTTAGTAGCTACAAGAAGAGGGGAAGTAGTTCTAGAAAGGATTAGGAGTAAGAGAAGTGCTTCTGAAGTGCTTCTTCTTTTACATTCTTTTCTGTTACCAAGACAGCTATGCAAATAAGCCTCGGTTAGTAGGATCAGAGGGGAGGAAGGAGAGGAGCTATGGGCTCCCTTTGAGAGCTCCCAGTCTGCAGGCCAGTCAGCACAAAGATTTCTTTGCTGTGCTGAGGGATACCCCACCAAGGACAGGAGCCAATCAACAAGGATGGCCAGAGCAGCGAGGAGGAGAGTGTGTGAATGTATGAATTCTTCTGCTCCCCATCTGTCTTCCCTGACAGTTGGAAAGTGGAGCCCCAGGGGATTAGGTGGGAGGCTGCCTCCTATGAGGGAGACAGACAGGCTGAAGCCTAGACAGCAGGGAGAAGGGGCTATGACAACAATGGCTGCTCCCTGGAGTCTAGGTGGCTACAGGGAACTGCTCTTCCTCTGTAAGTGAGAGCCTAAGGGGAGCTGGGGCAGGTGCTTAGGCCTGAAGCATGCAAAGAGAACCAGCAATTCAGAGGTCAAGAAAGAGGGATCCTAATTCGAGTAGCGAGGGACTTTTCCCCCTACATAGGATGGCATGCCTTACATAGCAAGAGTACAGCCACTTCACAACCAAAAGAACAGTTAGAAAAGACGGAGAAGGGCGTAGGTGGTGTCTGGGAACTCAAGGGAGAAGGCACCAAGGGCTGTTGCCAAGGAGACCATGGACAGCACGCCAAGGCTTTCCTAATCCCAAATCAGATCAGAAACACTGGCACATACCCCTGTGCTCTGCATCATGGGAACCTGCAGGATGCTGTTTGTGTGGCAGCAGTGGTGGACTCTCAGGTCTGCACAGTGGGATTCTAGCACAGGAACTGCTCTAAATCCCAGTGAGACCATAGTAAGATTGGGCCCTGTCCCAAAAAAACAAGATCCCAGGTGTATTAAACAGACAACATTAGGAACTATTACTACAAAACGATCCTTTTTCAGAAAGGTTGCTTGCCCCACCTGATCTTCTCTCAAGTGAACTCCTGGGTGTCACCTCACCTCCTGGTGCTCTTCCTGGCACAGAGGCCTCCCTTCTGGTCCCATGGCATGCCAAGCTGGTTCCAACTCAGGGAATTCTGTCCTACCTGTTCCTTCTGCCTAGAACCTTCTCTACCACCCCTACCCCTGGCTCCTGCCATACCTGCCATTTTGTCATTCTTTCTATCTCAGCTTAAATGTCACCTCCTCAGAGAGACTTTTCTGGAATCCTATCTCAAGAACCTAAATACCCCAGCCTGTGCCTCTTGGGCCGGGGCCTTACCATCCTGCCTGGCAGCTAGCTAGGTCTTTCTTTTGGCTTATATTCATATACTCCTGATGGGGCTTTGCTGTGTTCAACACCATGTACCCAACATCTGGCATGGTGCCTAGCACCTAGCAGGTGCTAAATAATAGTTAGCAAATGAACATTGGGACATTACTACTAGAACGAATTTTAGGAATCCTGGGATCCAACCCCATGTTGTACAGATGAGGAAGCCAGGCCCCATGAGATCACGTGTCCTGCCCAAAGTCACACAGCAAGGTAGTGGAAGAGCTGGCATAGAAACCCAGTTGGGGAGCATGCTTTCCCCACATTGATATGACCGTCCCAAAGGAGGCTGACCTGCCACTGCCAAGTTACCCAGGAGCAGGAGAGCACTCCCTTTTTGGAGGCCAGCCCATTAGACTTTAATCTCTCTGCTGCTCTTCCTTCTCTAAGCTCCCTCTTCCCCGACAGAGCTCTGGGGCCTTAGAATTCTCACCTGGCCTCAGCTTGCTGGTTCCAACAGAGTCCGCCTTGCCTTGGCTCGTGTAAGTAAAATGTCACAGAATGGACTTGGGCTCTTTCCCACAGAACCCGAGAGTGTGGCTTTTGTGCCTAGTCAAGGACCCTCGACACAGCTGTGCTCAGAAGTTGTGTCATACACTCAAAAGAGTAATTGCCTGGAAACGAGACTGGCTCAAAATATCTCTAATGTGACAATAAAATTCTGTTACCACAGAATCCAGCATGGAAAATTCTGTCCTGTTAGGTCAGCTAATTGCAAATGAGTCAGTGACTCGTTTTCCCTGTAGTGAAGAGACCATTGAAAGGCCAGTTAGCTGAAGTGCTCACTGCCTTGGCTTGGTCATTAACATGACCAATGAAGCTTCTATTTAGTCTGGTGGGAGTGGCAGAGGCTGGCCCATGGCACCCGCCTCACCTCTCACACTTTACATCCGGTTTCATGCAGGGTCCTTAAGCATGCTGGGCACAAACTCCGGGGTCCAGAGATCTCTGCTGGAATAAGGCACTTTTTGTTGAGGGCCCGTAACAGGAAGTTACCATTCTCTGGATTAAATCATATGCTGTTGCTACTGATTTTAAAAAGGACATAAGTCACCAGTTTACCACCCCTTGAGAGGAGTGTATGAGGGGTGCCTGTGTGCACGTGTGTGTGCCTGCACACACAGTCCAACGTTCATCGGATGCCTATGGCATAAGCCCATCTCAGCTACAACTGACTCTTGGTCTCTTTGGAACCATATTAGGAAGATCTATTTTGAGAAATGACTCTCCACACCAAGGGCTGACTTTCCTACACATGGAGAGGGAAGAAAGAGCCCTTTATTCCTGACCCCTTACCAAATGAGCTGCTACTTGAACAAGGGGTGAAAGGTGGTCCAGTCAGGAGCACAAACTGTTTTCCTATGAAAGGCAGCTCTCACTGCACCAAAGTACTGCCAGAGGGCTCACCCCTAGCCTCTTAGCCTCTTCTCTTAGCCTCTTCTGGAGAAGGATGTAGCTCCCAAAAATTCTTTGTCAGACAATCCACATCTGCTGAGCTTTGTTTTTTTTTGGTTTTTTTTTTTTTTTTTTTTGAGACAGAGTCTTGCCCTGTCACCCAGCCTGGAGTGCAGTGGGGTGATCTCAGCTCACTGCAACCTGTGCCTCCCAGGCTTAAGTGATCCTCCCACCTGAGCCTCCCAAATAGCTGGGACCACAGGTGTGTGCCACCACTCTCAGATAATTTTTAAATTTTTTGTGGAAATGAGGTCTCACTACATTGCCCAGGCTGATCTCGAACTTCTGGGCTCAAACGGCCCCCCTACTGGAATTCCTGGGCTCCCAGCCTCCCAGAGTGCTGGGATTACAAGTGTGAGCCACCATCCCCCTGCTGCTGAGGTTTTAAAGTCAAGATTAGTTAAGTTATTACATGTGAAACACTTAGAACTCCTGTGTAGTAAGTTTTCAAAATGTGTCAGCTGTTATTAATGTTATTTTTAGAATCATAGGGTCATGGTCCATTAATGGTAGGAAGAGCCTTAGTGACTAACCATCTGGTTCTACCTCTGGTTTTACAGATGAAATAATTAAGGTCAAGAGAAGGGAAATGATCTACTGCAATCACACAGCAACTTAGTACCAGTCATTCATTCGTTTCATTGACAAGTATTTACTGAGCACTCACTGAGGGCCAAGCTCGGTGCTAGGCCATGGGAATATAATGGGGAGAGAAAAAGGACTTGGTGCTTGCTTTCACAGAGCTAGTACAGTGAGGGAGACAGATCTTAATTATAAAATTACCCTAAATATGATAACTGTGGTGTTACAAAGGATAATAATAAAATGTGTTAACTATGAGCCAGGCCCTGTTCTGACCTTTACTAACTCACTTGACCCTCACTACAACCCTATGAAATAGATACCATAATTATCCTCATTTTTCAGATGAGAAAATTGAGGCACAGGGCTAATTGGAGGCAAAGCTGGGATTTGAACCCAAGGAGCCTGGCTCTACAGTCAGAGATCTTACAACACTATCATTGATTGATTTTTTTTTTTTTCTTCTTTTTGGCCCAAGACGCCAACCCGAAGTACAGTGCCCTAAGCAAACGTTGTAGCACCCAGTGGTCCTGGGTTGGTTTGGGCCAGACTGCTGGAGATTCTGTGAGAGGCAGTAATTAGCTGATAAGGCTTGGCCTCTGCCTTTCAGATGATAAATAAGGGACAGCTTTCCAGTCTAAGTGTGATCAAATGGCTTTTGAGCTCAAGGGCCCCAGTTCCACTATGGCTGCTTGACAGGGTAGAGGTTTTATGAACATGTATTGAATGAGGCTCAGAAAGATTTTGTAGCTATGTACTTGGTCTGGTTTATTTTCTCCTTTCGGTTGGACCTGGGAATGGGGAACCTGGAAAGAGGCAGCTTACTTTGATGTGAACAAGTGCAGCACAGTTGCAATGTTTTTCCAAAATAATTCAAACCTTACACTGTGAAACCTCATTCATCTGGACTAAGTCAGAGGTTATAAGAATCTAAGCAGAGCTGGGAGGCTTACCTTTGTATTACCCAGGAAGAAAGTATGTATTATACAAATAAGTAGTGTAAATAAAGGCATACACATATTCTATTTTGAAAACAAATGACTTAAAATTATTTTGAGCATAGAAATGCCGGGACCCCTATAATTACTGTGCTTCACAGATGTATCAGCCCTCTAAGGAAACCTAGCTGGCATTGATTTGCAGTAGTTTCAGTTACTTTTGTGCTGATGACCAATTGCATTTCTCCAACCATATTGCATACTTGCAATTTTTCTTCCAATTCAGACTGTCCTTTTCCCTGGTGAGTCTGACGTAGTGAATTGTGATATTCAGTTACTCAGAATTGGAACAGCTTGACCCCTGCTCTGGAAAGCTAAAACTAATTAGCCCTGCAGTGGATTTTCGCTATGCTCAACCTTAAACCAAAAAACCAATAAAGGAAAGAAATAAGGTTATCTTGGGGTGTGTGCTTCTCTTTGGCAACTTGAAACTTACTGAAAATAGCAGCAGTAACCTCTTGAATTTACCTTCCACTCTCCAAAACAGTAGTATTCAGTACCACTGGTTTAGCATTGGGATTGAGAGCTAGAGGATTTGCATTTGAGTCTGCTTTGTCCCTTACTGGATGCATGGCCTGGGGCGCATTACCTTCTGAGGCAGTCTACTTATCTTTAAAAACAGTGAAAAGGCTAGGTGCAGTGGTTCACACCTGTAGCCCTAGCACTTTGGGAGGCTGAGGCAGGAGGATCACTTGAGCCCAGGAGTTTGAGACATGCCTGGTCAACATGGCAAGACTTTGTCTCTACAAAAACACAAAAATCAGCTGGGCTTGGTGGCATGCGCCTATAGTCCCAGGTACTAGGGAGACTGAGGTGGGAGGATCACTTGAGCCCCGAAGGTGGAGGTTGCAGTAAGCCAAGATTGCACAGCTGCACTCCAGCCTGGGTGACAGAGTGAGATCCTATCTCCAAAAATGCCTTCTTCCCAAGGTTGTTATGGCAATTAAGTGAGTCTGTATATTTAAATATGCCTAGAACAGTGCTCTGAATAAATGTTAATGAAAACAAAACAAAGGATACTTTGTCTTTAGACAGTACCTTCCCCCAGAGAGGTACCCCGTTTTGAACACTGACCTCACTCATCAACCTAGGTAGAGACCGATGTAAGAAATTTCTCTCCACCCTATTTTACATGTGGAGACTAAGGCATAAACCACGAAGTGTGGAGTGTGTGTGTTGAGGGGAGTGTCAGAGGCACTCGTCTAAGAGTCACAGGGCATGGTGGCAAAGAGCCTGGCCTAGGACCCTTTGGACTCTCACACCTTGTCTGGATTAAAAGGGCCCTTCCATGGGCTTTCGCGTGTCCTTGGGCCATTCTATTAAGACCAGCTATTAAATGACAGTGTTCCAGTTGGGGACTGGTGTGGCTTCCAGAGCAGGACCTCATGGGCCTTGAGGAGATCTTGGCTTCTTTTTATAGCAATGGCTTTAAAAATATCACCCCAGAAAACCAGCTTCTGCCATTTCATGAGGGGGGATGAGGAAGGGAAGAAGGAGGGAAGACAATGCCCAGAGTTGTGGCTTGATGATGCTGTCTCCCACTGAAGCATAGGTTCTACCAAAGCAGGCATGCTCTGTCTCCTTCTCACTGTGCTCCCAGTGGCTAGTGCAGTGCTTGCACATAGTAGTTACCCAGGAGCCATTTGAGAAATGAATGAATGAATGAGATGCTTGGAGTGTGTGGAGTGATCTAGGCTGTTGCAGCTGTTCTCAGTCATGCAGTGGATCACAGTGAGGAGCACAGAGTGCTCCCAAGAGAGGGAGCTCCTAAGGAGCTGGCATCTCTGTGTGACGCAGTTGGAAACCTATAATGAATGCCCCAGGTGATGATTTAGTGGAATCAACTTCTTGGCTTGTCTGGGGATTAAACCAGGGCTCCCCTTGGTACTGCAGATGGAAATCAAAACAAACACCTGTTTGCCCAGAGTGCCATGTGTTGTGGATACGTTCTCCTTGGTGCCCTCCTTCAGAGACGACTCTGTGTGCTAACAGCTGATGTAATTACAGCCTCCACGCTAGCGTCAGTCCTGCCATCTCATTCCTAAACTTCTACAAGTGCTTTGGAGCAGAGCTCCCTGCCTCCACCAGCCCCCCTTCTTGGTTCATTCTGTGGGGACCCTGAGAGCTCTCTTTGTTAATCACAGCTCTGATCTTACCACTCCCTAGCTTCCTGTGCCTGCAGAATAGAGTGAGCATGCTCAGCACACCGTACTATTGTTCATGCTGACGCCACCTCCCATGTACTCATCTGCTCAGTGTACACTTAGTGAATGCCTGCATCTGAGAGGCAGCAGGGGGTGGTGCCTGAGAGCCTGGACAGGAGTCACAGCTCCTGGGTTCAACTCCTCAGGCAGGTTACTGTGAGTCTCACTTCCTTTTCTGCAGGGGTTATCCAAGGGATGTGGAGAGTGCTCAGCGCAGAGCCTGGCATATAGCACGTGTTCAGGAGAAGGTAGCTTCTCTTTTTATAGGTGCCAAGTGCTGTGACTTGAGGATACTGAACTTAATCTTTGCCTTCAGGGAGCTTAGGGTCTCTGTGCATGTCAAACAGGAAAGTTGGTGATGATAACAGGGTGTGAGAAATGCTACTGAGAGAGGAAACCCAGGGAGTGGCACCTAATAAGGTCCTGGAGGAAGCAAGGGGGTACTTTCAGGAATGCCACAAAGACAGCAAGATGCTTGTCATGAATGCCCAGCAGAAGAAACTGGGGAAGAGACACCCAGCCTGAGGAAACAATATCTACAAAGACACGGAGAAACTCGGCACATCCAAGACAACCACATGAGGGCTGGCATGGCTAGGGGGAGGGAGGGAGTTGGTGAGTAGGCCAAAAAGGTAACGAGTCTTAAGAGACATACTAAGGAATTGAACTTGACCTGGAAAGCGATGATGTGCCAAAGACAGCTAAAGTATCATGGTCAGTTGGGTTTTTTCCGAAAGACTCCTCTAGCTGCAGTGTCGGGGATGAACCAGAGATGGGGCACTTTTTAGAGGCATAGAGATCATCAGGAAGGCTTCTGTCTTCATCTAGGTTCGATATGATAAAGGCCTGAGCTGAGATGAGCACAGAGGGCATACAGAGATACTTAGGACGCAGAGTGGAACTGGCAACCAGTCGGATCAGAACCAATGCACAGGAAAGTGTTAGACAGATAGGGTGTCCAGCGGTGGTTTTCCAAATGCAGCCAGGTGCCATGGCCTGTCCATTCCCCACAGACCACGGAGGGCTGGTTTGGCTTATTAGACAGTGCGGAGCCCAAGGAGATATAGGGCCTGAGAGTGATTTGAAAAGGGATCCATTTCAGGAGGATTCTTCCGCTTAAGATTACGTGTGTGGGCTGGATGAAAAGAGCAGACACGGGACACCACGAGACCAGTTAGAATGATGTTGAGAGACCAGTCCTGACAAGACTCCATGAGGGTCTGCACCAGGAGAGTGGTGATGGGAAAGGAGACCCAAGGCCCAGGGTGAGGGTAGCTGCCCGAAAAAGGGCAGCAGACATGCGGCTGATTAGATCTTGGCATGAAGAAGTCAAAGAGAGGATAGAATGAAAAACAAACTGTTTAGCAACCAGGCATGTGAGAGCAAATGGAGCATGAACGCTGGCCGAGCACCCACTGTGGGCCAGCCATTGGAGGCCAGAAATGACGCTGATGAAAAGACTGTCCTCTCCTTGGGGACATACACGCTGCACACACAGCATGCGTAACAGTTTACGAACTGTGTTAACCAGATTTGGCACCAAGTATACCAAGGTCTGGGCAAGAAACCAGGACCACTGACTCACCTGTGCAGAGCTCCTGTGGTAAGGGGCATAGTGGAGTGGCCCGGAGATGGCTGTGTCATGAGGGAGGGCCGGATACTGGCTCTGCATGGGGTGAGGATGCTGGTTGCCATAGCTCCCATAGTTATAGCTTCCCGTGTATCTAAAATGCATCAAGCACATTGAATAGTGTGAGTAATAGCAAGAACAGATCAGTTTGACAACTTTTTAAAAACCTCATCTATGTTTTTCCTTTTTCTTTTTTTCTCTCTTTTCTTCCCCCTTCACCCCCCAACCCCATTTTTCATTCTTTCGTCTTTTTTTTTTTTTTTTTTTTGAATCAGAGTCTCATTCTGTTGCCCAGGCTGGAATGCAGTGGCATGATCTTGGCTTACTGCAACCTCCACCTCCTGGGTTCAAATGATTCTCCTGCCTCAGCCTCCTGAGTAGCTGGGATTACAGGTGTGCGCCACCACGCCCGGCTAATTTTTGTATTTTTAGTAGAGATGGGATTTCACCATGTTGACCAGGCTGGTCTCAAATTCCTGACATCAGGTGATCCACCCACCTTGGCCTCCCAAAGTGCTGGGATTACAGGCATGAGCTATCGCGTCTGGCCTCTTCCTTTTGATTCTTACCATTTCCACTTTTGTGGCCTTGTTATGGTTAACTTAAAACCCCAGGCTGATTTTCCTATTCCTTCAACACCTAGAACATACCTCCCTTCCCCCAGCCAGTGTTCAGAGATGAAATCTAGCCTGAGCCAAACATCATTAGTGATGGAAACCTCTACTCCTGCTGTGTTTAAAAGCCCTGTTGTATCCTGGAATCAAATAGGGATAACAAAAAAGAAACCACTGTGAGATTTATGTTTTTATATCACTCAGGCCTCTGCTTCCACATCATGGGGAAGGATATAGTGGGGTTCTGCAAGCTGTCTCCTGGGGGGATAACACCATGGCATGGTCAAACAGGCATCAAAGACCCCGGTTCTAAGCCAGACTCCACCACTTTCTAGCTGTGACTTTCACGACCCTGTTTCTCACATCCATAAAAATACTGTGCACGGTCATTCTGAGGATCATATGTGTGAACACACTCTATAAACCAGAAAGTCCTGTGTAGACATAGCCTATTATTATCACTGTTCCTCTTAGTAACATCTTTATAGCAAAGATGCTGACCTATGACCATGTGAGTATTTTTTCTGCTATTTCTGCTGAATCAAAAATCTCTCTGAAACAGGGTTTTCAGAGTCTATTCTAAATGTGTGGAAATACTCTCAAAGGCCTCCTGAGAAAATAATGGCTGCCCGATTGACTGCTTGGGAGCACTTGAACCTATGGAAAAGTACACCAACATCCAGGCCTGTGCACACTGTCAGGTCACCGCTGTGCTGCACTATGCTGGGCCAACTGTGGAAGGGACCTGAGAGGTCCTCCCCCTCCTCCTCTCATGTACCCCACAACTGGTCTGTTGGAACCTGGCCTGGGAGTGGTCAGGCCCACTGCACCACATGGTAGGATCTCTCTCTCTCTCTCTCTCTTTTTTTTTTTTTTTTTTTGAGATGGAGTATTGCTCTATTCTCCAGGCTGGAATGCAGTGGTGCGATCTCAGCTTACTGCAAGCTCCGCCTCCTGAGTTCAAGCAATTATCCTGCCTCAGTCTCCTGAATAGCTGGGGCTACAGGCGCCTGCCACCACGCCCATCTAATTTTTCTTTTTTTGTTTTTTTGAGATGGAGTCTCCCTCTGTCGCCAGGCTGGAGTGCAGTGGTGCAATTTCGGCTCACTGCAATCTCTGCCTCCTGGGTTCAAGCGATTCTCCTGCCTCAGCCTCCTGAGTAGCTGGGACTATAGGCGCGTGCCACTACATCCAGCTAATTTTTGTATTTTCAGTAGAGATGGGGTTTCACCATGTTGGCCAGGATGATTTCGATCTCCTGACCTCGCGATCCACCCGCCTCGGCCTCCCAAAGTGCTGGGATTACAGGCATAAGCCACCGCGCCTGGCCCATTTTTGTATTTTTAGTAGGGAGACAGGGTTTCATCATGTTGGCCAGTCTGGTCTCAAACTCTTGACCACAAGTGATCCACCCACCTTGGCCTCCCAAAGTGCTGGGATTACAGGTATGAGCCACTGTGCCCAGTCAGGATCTCTTTTTAATATCCTAAGTGCTTTTCAGATCACTGCTCATTAGACATTGAAAGGTTAGTGTCTTTTGATAAAGACAATGCATAATGGCAAAGAACTACGAGGATTCAAGTAACACTTTTGTATGGATTTGTAGTTCATTCATCACAGCAACATCACTCCACACATTTGAAAAATATATACGTATGGGCAGAACAAATGATGCATCTTTCCAGGGCATAAAGCACCGCTAGAACCTATGGGGAATCCCCTGAACCTCATGAATAACTGCAGCCCTAAAGGGACCTCCAGCCCTCAGGTGAGGAAGCCCTTCTCTAAGTGGAATCATAAAAGACTTGAACCTGAGATGACGCTCTGTAAGTCTGCAATTTGTACAAAGAGCCAGCCAGGAGAACTGCTGAAAGGGGTTTGCAGCTGAGGCGTTAAAGGAGTGAAGAGGGAGGAACACAGGCTTTGGAGTCAGATATGTGCTCAGTTAGGTCCCACCATGTGCCAGCTGTGTGACCTTGGGGAACTGAAGAGAACCAAGTTTCAATTTCCTCATCTAAAATGGGGTCACTAACACCTTCTTACCTACCTACCTACCCTGGTTGTTGTGGGGATTACACAATACAGTGCTCACGATATTGTGGGAACTCAGCAAAGGGTAGCACCCTTCCTGTTCTTTGAGAAAACAGCTGTTAAGGAAACCCCTCTTTAGATCTTTTTTTTTTTTTTTTGAGACGGAGTCTCGCTCTGTCACCCAGGCTGGAGTTCAGTGGTACAATCTCGGCTCACTGCAACCTCTGCCTCTCAGGTTCAAGCAATTCTCCCACCTCAGCCTCCCAAGTAGCAGGGATTATAGGTGTACGCCACCATGTCTGGCTAATTTTTGTAGTTTTAGTAGAGACAGGGTTTCACCACGTTGGCCAGGCTGGTCTCGAACTCCTGACTTAAAGGCCCACCTCGGCCTCCCAAAGTGCTGGGATTATAGGGTGTGAGCTGCTGCACCCATCCTCTTTAGATCAAATTTTAAAAGTCCAGCAGCATCCCTAGAAAGTTACCTACCCATGTTCCTCTCTGTGGGGATAAACTGGTATCCTGTGTGTGACGGAGGAAGAAGGCACATGAGTGTTCCTCATACAGGGCAGCTGTTGGGAGTTCTCAGCTGGGGACCCAGCAGCCGTCGTCACTGTGTATGTGAGAGACCACGTATATGACTGCATTGCTCCTGCAGAGACAAATTAAGACGTCTCGATCATTAACAGTTCTCACATCCCTTGTTCTTCCTTACTTTAGTGGCTTCCCTTTGTTCTTAAGTTGAAGGCCAAAATCTTTACAAGACATGTATCTCTGACTCTGCTGAGCTCACCAGAGGCATCCCCCATCCCCTGTCTTTGTTTTATCTGGTCCAGCCACATTATCTTTCATCGTCTTCAGAGCACCACAGTTCCCAGCACCTCGGGGCCTTTGCACATGTTTCTGCTACCTTATTACCCACTCATTCTTCCTCTCACAGTCCAAAAAGCTGTCGTCTTCCTAATCCCAGACTAGGCCAGATCCCTCACTGTACTGTAGGCCTAAGTGGTACCTACTGCAATTTGTAATCCTACACCCATTAGTGAATGTGATTTGATTAATGGTCCCCTCACCAGACAGAAAGCACCAAGAGGGTAGGGGCCTGGCCAGGATTTTGGCCACCAGTGGATTCCCAGTGCTTAGTACAAAGCCTGGCCACCAAAAGACTCAATAACAATTTTAGAAGGGAGAAAAGGGAAGGGAAAGATAAGAAGAAAGGAAGGGAGGGCCAGAAGGAAAAGGAAAGCCTGGCGAAATACATCCTAGATAGGCACTGCCAATTAACTTTTCAGTGCTTAACTCAACAGGTGTTAAGGATCCAACAAATTGCTTTAAGCAAACATAAGTAGATTATTGGAATCTGCCAGCTCAGGTCTTTTTGAAGATTATTAGACAGTGGCCTGGACAGTGACCTATTCTATACAAATTATGAATTCTCTTTGTCTATTTTTTAATTTAATTGGATACCTTGAAAGTGCTAAAGACTGGGGGATAAAAACCTGACAAAATTAAATGCTTAATATTTTATGAGATGGTTAGTTTTTTGTTTTTTGGTTTTTTTGAAACAAGGTCTTACTCTGTCACCCATGCTGGAGTGCAATGACATGATCATGGCCCTCACTGCACCCTTGACCTCCTGGGCTCAAGAGATCCGTCCACCTCAGCCTCCCAAGTAGTTGGAACTACAGGTATGTACCACCATGCCCAGCGAATTTTTAAAATTTTATTTTTTTTTTTTTGAGATGGAGTCTTGCTCTGTCTCCTAGGCTGGAGTGCAGTGGCACAATCTCAGCGCAGTACAACCTCTGCCTCCTGGGTTCAAGCGATTCTCCTGCCTCAGCCTCCTGAGTAGCTGGGATTACAGGCGCACACCACCACACCTGGCTAATTTTTGTATTTGTAGTAGAGACAGGGTTTTGCCATGTTGGTCAGGCTGGTCTCGAACTCCTGACCTCATGATCCGCCCGCCTCAGCCTCGCAAAGTGCTGGGATTATAGGCATGAGCCACCGTGCCTGGCCTTGAAATTTTTTATAGACACAGGGTCTCACTATGTTGCCCAGGCTGGTCTTAACTCCAGGTCTCAAGTGATCCTCCCACCTCAGCCTCCCAAAGTGCTAGGATTAGAGGCATGAGCCACCACTCTTGGCCTAGAATTTTTTTTTAATGATAATTTAATAAATCATTAACAGCAATATTAAACTCATCAGACAACTTAATTTCTGATAAATTTTAAAATATGTTAATATGGTGGAAATAATCAAGCTTGTTTTAGAAGGCAGAGGGAATGGGATCCAACATCCCCCTTTAGGTACATGGAAAACTGAAGAATTTAAGGGAGGACATTTTTAAGGTGAAGTAAAAGAGAAAATTTGATCTCCCGTTCTGTATTTTCTGCAGTAGACCATTTCTATCTAAAAATTCCTCTGGGAAGATAAAGGAAAGGTTTTCATTTTAAAAATTAGTCCATTCCATCCCAGGGACTTTGCAAATAGCATATGAGAGGAGCTGCATTGACATGGAGTAGTGGGAGGAAGCAGAGTTGGTGGATCAGCGCAGTGCCAGTTATGTGACAGAGACTCGGTAAGGAATACCCTTGAAGAAATGTGGAAATGGTATCCTATTTTAAATACCTTGACTTATTGTTAAAAGAACCCTTTGGTGAGCCCTTTCATAAATTGAAGAATCTTTTGGAATGCAAATAATGTCCTTTGTTGTAATGAGGTGGCAAAGATTTATTCCAAGAGTATGAAAGGAGACACCATTATTGAGCATCTCTTACAGACCATGCAGTGTGCTGAGTGCTTGTCACACACCCTTAAAAGAACATTATCCCCCATTTTATAGGTGAGGAAACTGAAGGTTAAATCCAAAAGAATTTAAGGGAGTGTATAGCAATATAAAAGATTCGAGACAATAAAATGGAAGTGGGAATGAAAGAAGAAAGAAAAGCAGAATTGGAGGCAAAAAGTGCAGTCGGAATGAGGTGAAACATGCCGCCCAAATTCTTCCTATATGTGAATTTTGAACTTAGATACGAGTTTTCCAGGAGCCAGTGCTCCTGGAAACCTGAATAGTTAGGAGCACTAAGATTGACGATTGCTCGGGAGTATACTGTCCTCCATATTCAGAGCAAACAGAAATATCTTTAACTATGAACTGTTCAACAATGTCCTCAACACCCTTACAATGGACTTCATCTTAATTCTAAGGATGGTTCCTTTTGTCAACACTAACTGCAGGCTAATGGCATCACACAAAAGTCCAGTTCAAGGAAACTTAGAATGTTAAATAACTTGCCCAAGGTGCTGGAGTGGGTGTCAGTCGGGCTCCGAACCCAGACACTTTCTGCCACACACTTTCTACTCTCTACTGTCATGTCTCTTTGCTCTGGGTTCTGGTTCTGCCAGGTGCTAGCTGTAAGATCTTGGGCAAGCCTGTTAAACTTTATGAGCTTCTGTTTCATCATCTTTAAAACAGGAGTAACAATATCTATCTTGCAGGACTGTTGTGAGGGTTAACTGAGATAATGTATGTCAGAGATCTTGGCATGTTGTAGGCTTTTAATGGTATTCGAGCACTCTTCATTACGAATTCAGGTATTCTTACATGAAAACTTCTTAAAATAGATATTTCTGTATATCTCATTTCAGACCCCAAGGAAGAAAGGCAAGTTTCTTGGGTGAGATTCTATTACCAGTGATGAAACATTTGAATAGCAACGGTAATTTGGCCAATTACGGCAAATTTCCTAACATGTTTTTCTATAAAATTACTAGTGTCCTTACTTACTCACCAGCACAGCCGAAAGTACCCCTTCCTGCTTTGCACATCTACTCCATATTCTTCCCCCAAAAGATAATGACTTTAGCAGGCTTGATTTGTAAGGCTTGATAATGATTTGTCAGGCTTGATTTATAAGTACAAGAAAATGGGAAGGGAAGATCCCCAAAATGATCACGACTTAGATGACTGGATTATGCATAATTGCCCTCCTCTATGTTTTGAACTTCATGTGAAATTATATTACTGTTATAGTTTTTAAAAAGTCATGTTTATTAAAACAGATTATCATTAGTGGTGGGATTGAGGAGAGTTTTAAAATGTTTTCCCTTGTTTTACTTATCTGTATTTTTCTGTAATGAATGTGTATTGCCTCTGTAAAAAGAAAAATATGAATACATTAAACAAAGTTTAGAATTGGAAATGGAATCGGAGAAGGTGGGCAGTTTGGGAGAACAATGAACCAGCCCCAACAAGCGAGTAATTAACCCTTAAAGCCTCTGGGACCTCAGGGGAGCACAGCGAGGTCAGTGGATATTTAAACGGGACAGCCAAGGAAACCAAAGAATTTTTTTTTCCAAGCAGTGGGAAGAAGTCATGATAATAGCCATCACCTGAGAGAATGCAACAGAAGTTACTTTTGTGTGAGCCCCTGGAGCACAGCAACTGTTCCTTATTCATCTCTGTATCCCCAACAGAGGGTGTGCCAAATAGTAGGTGTTCAGTAAATTTTCGTTCCATTGAATTTGTTGTTGAAGGAGTAAATGCTGCTAGAAATAGACGTTATCAAACAAAAAGCTAGTGGAACTCTTGGAAAAATGGGCTCCTGTGGTCTGGGGAACAAAACCCCTAAATGGCCATGTGCCAGCAATCTAACACATCCACTCAGGCAGGCTTAAGCAGATTAACACCTACTGGCTTGGGTGAGAAACCCTTTTTGCCTGGGGAGCAGAAAAGAACACCCCTTGAATTCCCTTTCCTACCAGTGAGACCTCCAGTGAGAATTGCTGCTGCTTCTTTTTTAAGGAAGCTAATAAAAGAAAATCTGTGCAGCTTACAGTTTGTGCTTAGTTTTTAAGACAAGTCTAATGCTTTTAATTTGTCGGTAAAACAATAGCAAATCTTCCCTATTTGTTCAATTCCTATATTTTTCTCTTATTCTCCCCTCCTCTCCTCACATTTCTATTTATTTAAAGGTCTGAGGATAGCGGTGGAAGCCCCTGATATTTGAGAATCCTGTAAAGATCCCAAGAGAAGCAGTTGTTGGTCACCTTACAGTATTGAAACTGCTACAGGGGAACATTTTCTTCCCCTCCCATCCCCAGCAAAACACTCTTCTTCCCCAAGGTTGCTTTGTTTTGGAACAGGTTTTAAGCATAGGACAGGAAGGGTGCTCGGAATATAATAGACAGTCAGTAATGATTTGTCAAATAAATGAATTAATGATCATCTAACATAAACCAGATCTCATGCTCATTTCCTTTTATACATTGACCCATTCAGTCTTCACAACAACCTTTTGAGGTAGGTAGTATTACCTTCTTTTTCAGGTGAGAAAATTGAGGCCCAAGAGGTTAAATGACTTGCTCAGGTAAGTGGCAGAGTTGGGATTTGAATGTGGGTCTGCCCAACCCCAAACCCTTTCCATAGCAGTGTTTCTTACACTTGAATGTGTATTTGAATCATTGGAGATCTTGTTAAAAATGCAGATTCTGATTCAGTAGGTTGGGAGTGAGGCCTTTATATCAGACTTCTAAATGATGACAATGTGGTTGGTCGGTGAACCACACTTTGAGTAACAAGGCTCTATAACATACTGCCTCGTGTCACACATCCTGTATGTTAAGGGCCATTAAAAATCCAAGTTGGCC